TTGTATTGGTATGTATGGTATCGATACTAATTGTGAAATGAAGCCGAGAACGTGGGACGTCTTCAATGCTGTTGCTGAACCTTTTATTCCACGCTCGCATGCACATACACACACACACACACACACACACACACACACACACACACACACACACACACACACACACACACACGCGCGCGCGCGCTCTGTCTGTTTGTTTGTCTGTCTGTAAGAATATATCAAGAGCAAGATTTGTCCTTTGCTCAGCATTTGCACGCCCATGCTGCACATATGTGCAGAGAAGTCTTTATAGATATTAATGAGCCGTGACAATGACAGTGCCCGGTCTTGGATATCATAATTCAAGTCTATGATATCAGAAATATTATTTTAAAACACAGATAGTTCTTTTCTTCACGTCGTGCTCCCCAGATGTACTCCATGAGCTACTTCACACAGGAGATCGCTTTTGTGGCGCTAAACGGGGCAGTTGGACTGACTTATTTCATAGAGAGCGGCGAGTGGGAGGTCACAAGCACGAGCATCACTACTGGGGCCGACGCTGTAATCGGCTTCGGCTTCTTCAGGGTGAGTTTGACTTTAGAAAGGGGGAAGCAGCTTGACATATTGAAAGAAAACGTAAAGGAAAAAATTTACATTTTGGGGCTTTTTTGTCCAGAACTGTGCTTTTAAATGGAAAGTATAACACGGTACAAAGGTTCACAGACAAAAGATCATGTTTATTCACAAGTCCAAAATTTATTCATACAAATAGGTCACCACGGTGCAGCACCCTGTACGAGTTAGATTGAACACACGTTCCTGCCTCAGATCGCACCCCTTTGGCTACCCATCTGAGAGATGCTACTGATTTTTATAAAATTGACATTTTTATATGAACAGAGTCCACTATGCTTCATTAGTCTTCATTGGCTGTACCCGAATATTAATGTTTGGTTATTGTAAAGACTAACGCTCCATTCAATTATGTATGGTTATATATGACACAGAAACTTTAAATTAGTGAAACCTACAATTTACATTGGACCGAGTTGAAGCTAAGACTCCCTCTATTTAATATATTATTATTTGTGCAAATAAATTTCCACCTTCATCTCTTGCGCTTGTCCAGATAAGCTTCAACCTGCGACGACGTCCCGGGTTTTTCCTCATCAGCGTCGGGATGACGTTGATGTTGCTCTCATTCGTCAACCTCATGGTGTTCCTCATCCCTGTGGAGAGCGGCGAGAAGATCAGCTACTGCATCACCGTCCTGCTGGCCCTGGCGGTTTTCCTGAGCGTCATCGGAGACATGTTGCCCAGGTTTGACTCCCGATATATCATAAAATACAGCCCTCCAAACAAAATTAAATATCAACATACATGGGGACATGTTGCCCAGGTTTGGCTACCAATATATAATAAATACAACCTCAAAACAAAATCAAATATCTACAGTATACATACATTTGTAAGAGACCATTATCACATGCAGCTTCTTGCACGGAACCGTGTACTTTTATTCTCCGTCCAGCTTGCATGTTATGATGTTGTTTCTATGAATCTATTTTAAGATTGATGTATTTTTTGGAATTTGACTCCACGGCCTCTTAATTCTTTTAAAGTCTTCTGCCTTGTCCTGAATCATGTATTTCACTGCAAGTCTTAAATATACGTAAGGTTCACTCAAAGGACAGTTTACCTGAGCGATCTTTCATTCAATAATAATGATAATGATACTCGTAGTATTAAAAATGATAATAATATGAATAACGATACAAATAATTTCGATAGCCCCCAATGCCTTACAGTGCAGCAATGGGCGCTTTTAATATCTTTATCGCATATTACAGGTGCATGAACATACACACATAATATATGTTCTTTAGTTAACGCTAACATATAGAAACTCATACTATCACAGCACAAACAATGACTATGCACATCATGTTAAGATCAAAAGAATCATTGTATGTATTACACGGACTTGAAAACGACTTATCTGCCAGGTCTTCCGACATCATGCCGCTGATGACCATCTACCTCATGATTCTGTTCATCATCTCTGTCCTCGCCGTTATCGTCGCTGTCGGCATCGTCTGGCTGCACCACAGAGAGGAGGTGACCTCTTCATAACAATCTTTATTTTATTGTTGTTGTTGCTGCTGTTGTTTCTCAGATACTATAAATTTCTTCTTCATGGTTGTCGTTCTCGCTATTGTTGTTGTTGTTGTTGTTGTTGTTGTTATTGTTGTTGTTATGATTGTTGTTGTTGTTGTTGCTGTTGTTGTTGTTGATGTTGTTGTTGTTGTTGTTGATGTTGTGCTGTTGTTGTTGTTGTTGTTGTTGTTGATGTTGTTGTTGTTGTTGTTATTGTTGTTATTGTTGTTATTGTTGTTGTTGTTGATGTTGTTGTTGTTGCTGTTGTTGTTGTTGTTGTTTCCCACAATCTTCAAAGTTAAAAGAAAACCCAAGTTTCGTCTGAGAGCAGGTATTTTTCTCTTGAATCTTATTGCTATTTACAATTCAAAACCATATTATTTAGAAACACTGTGGGCCCTACATATTTCCACATGATTGTCGAACAGAAACGTGTGTTTCGTTTAACCAAGTTGTTATCCATTTTCAGAAAGACACACGACGCCAGAATGCCACCGCTTCCTTCAAGAACATATTCGGAAAAGTTCGATCGATGAACAGAGCGACTGCGTCTTTGACCAAAGTGATGCCCTCTCAACAAGATCCAGAGTCTCCTGACAACGACCATTCTCCACCCTCTGCCTCGATGGAAGGACTGAAGAAACTTCGGGCAGCCGAGAAATCGAGGGAGAGCGCGCCGCCAGGCGAGGGGAAGAGTGATAAGAACAGGCCAACAGTGAACAAGTACAAAATAATCGGGCAACATATTGATATGATATCTTTTGTTGTTTTTATGGTGGTCTGGTGCTTGGTTACTTTTTGTATCCTTTTGATGGCTATGACATGAGGTTTTGTTGTTTGTATGTGATGTACTTTGTTTTGCCATTATTATTTTAGAAAATAATTTCAGTGGAGTTTTCCACTAAGGAGGAGAAAACCCTGACTTGATTTGGGCTCTAACCGCCAAAGTTCCTCCCTCACACGCAGGGATTTAACATCACGCCTGGCCACGTCTCCAAACAGAAAATCGCTGTGTGCGTGGTCGATTTCATAAAGCCGGGCGCGGGGTACAGCGCGGCTCCAGAAATTTTGGCTGTGCCAAATATTTTTCAATTGGCTCAGGGTAGAGTAGAGTAGTTGTTTAAAAAGCAAAAGAATAACATTTGTGTGTGTTGAAATTCGTTATCATTGTCAAATTATCTCTGAAAGATATACTAAACACCATACCATTTTGATGTCAAATAATGATTCGTCGGTGGCCTAGTGGTTAGGCTCTCGGACTCGCAACCGTAAGGTTGTGGGTTCGAATCCCGTCAAGGGCCCGACGTTGTGTCCTTGGGAAAGGCACTTTACAC